GCGCCGCTCGCGTCCGTAGACACGGTGTAACATTGGTTTTGCTTTGTTTCACAGAACTAATCGTTGCCTGGGTTGCGTACGTATATGTGGGGCGGAGCTATCAAAATAGGGGCAAGACCCTTTTGGGGTAGGGGCGTGTTTGTTTTGGTGATTTCAAATATAAACATTGGCTACCAGAAATCCCTCACTCTGCCTTTAAGAGGAAAATCATGCACTAGCAGGACACAAAATGTAGGACACAACTAAACATTACATTTACGATCATTATATAATAGTTTATCTAACATATCCAATTATCTCATTAAAAAATCAGTTTGTGCCTCGAATGCTCTAATTAAAGTAATGGGACACCAAAGTGAACTCAAAAGTGGGCCACAAAATAGTATACATAAAGTGAAGCACAGGATGCATTTTCCCCTAACCTCCATCCATGCAGTCTGCAGGTTCATTCTTCATCGTGAAGATGCGACGGACCTTACAGAAGGAGGAGATGATGATGCCATCCAGAGACAGGAAGCGTGTCCCTCTGAATATCTCAGCGGTGAGAGAGTCCAGATCGATACACAGATTACACCACTGCACACAGACAGTAGTACCTTATCATACTAGCTCAAGAAAATTTTTCAGGTCATTTTTGTGGTCATGTTACAAAGTGTCTCACTGAGCTCAGATCAATTGATCTGACGGCTCATTTGCAGATAGTCACAGAGAATGCAGCAGTCGGGACTTACAGTATTGCGTTTGAGGCAAGTTAGAGGAATTCTGGCATGCAAAGGGGTTGCTGAGAGCTCTTTGTGCACAGTAGACAGGTAGAGTCTCTTCTTTAGATGCTCTTCGTCAGTCACTCTAGAAGACAGCATTGAAAAGTTAACCAAATTGCTTGCTCTGTAAGGCAGATGGAAAGATTTTTAACCATTTTCTCATATGTGTGTGTGTAGAAGAATGTGTAGGAGTGGTATCTGCATGTGTGAAAGTGTGAATTAATTCACCCTCCATGGTAATAAACCCTCTACACTTTCTCTGAATTTCAACTATATCATAGCAGCATAACAAGATTGTTTTCAGCAAATTGAAAATAGATGTCGGAAGGAACCTGTTAACAATGACACTAAATTTGAAAAGAATTCAAAGAAAAGAAAAGCCGGGGCTTACAAAAACTCAGTGGAAAAATCTCTTCCCAATGGAACGTTCACCTGTAGAATCAGAAACTTCTGAATCAGACCAACTGTAGGAACAAGAAACAGGAGATTAGATGTGAAAGAGATATGCACAGACACATACAGTATAAATGGTGATTCAACCTGATACTCAATCCTTATATGCATCCCTATGGCAATATGATATTTTTGTTATTAATCTGGCTTTGAAGATGTTCTAACAATAACAACAACAAAAATCTATAGGCCTAAACAAAATAGAACATTTTATTAATCCAGGGTTTCTGCAGGATTTTTAAGATCAAATTTAAGACCCTTTTAAGACCTGCACAAATAAAATTAATACCATATGAGCGGGGTAGGGCAATGTCTATAGTACCATATTAAACTGTAAAATTACTGTAAAAAGCATAATTTACAGTTCAGATACAAGTTTTCACAAAAACAAAAAGTTTTATAAAATGATAAACTTTACATTTCAGCCTTTAAACCATTTTTAAGAAAATTGATTAGTCAAAAGTATTAATTATTATATTAATTAAAAAAATTATTATCAATAAATTATTATATCAATTAAATGACATAAATTAGGGGTGTGCAATATTAACAAAAAATGATATCTCGATAATTTTCTGGGATTTTATTGATAACGATAATTAGACAATATTTTGCTATAGAGTGTGTTATTGTGCTGATATCTTTTCTCTAATTGTGCTGACAGCTGAATCCTGAATTTTTTCATATTTTTCAAATTCTGTGTGGTCAGTTCACAGCAGTAATAGAAAT